AATTTTAAATAAAAAAAAATAAAATACAATTTAAAAAAAATAAAAAATAATTTTAAAAAAAGTACCCTCTTTTCAAGTGTATAACACACAGTTTTCAAATGAGAAAGGACTGAAAAGTGCAGCTTCACATACTTCTGGCATTATATAAAAGATATTCTGGCCATATAGAAGATGCTCAGCCTCCTCTGTTCCAGTAAATGCTTACTGTGAGCCTACTTACTATGTTACCAATGCTAGGGAGGATGTTAAATAGCAGATGAGTAAGCTCTGGCCTGTCCTTCTGGAGCTCACGGTCTGTAGAGAGAGGCAGGTAGGTGAGCAAATCCATACGGTGCAGTGGACCTGAGAGAGGGCCATGGGAGAAGACAGCCAGCTGGTCCTGTCAAGAATACTTTTATTATTCCTGTGTGAGCCAAGATGACTAGATTTTGTCTGGTAGAAAAATTATTTCAGACAGAATAAACAACAGATGCAAAAACCAAGCAATGTAAACAGCATACCATGGCAATGGCCAGAATATAAAGTAGTAGAAAGATTTGCAAGCAAAAAGGTGATACATGATTGGTTTTGGAGAGAGAATTCTGTTGCAGTAAGGAGAATGGCTGAAGCTATGGGGAAGAGATAGATGAGAGGTCAGGCTGCCTTGTCTGTCATGGTCACGAGAATAGATCCATTCTCTGGGTGTGCACAGTGTACGTCCGCAGTGATGTTGTGGCCAGTGTGATGGTCCCACCATCGCTGAGCTCGTCTTACTGTCCGTGAGCTGCTTCGCATTACCAGCAATTATCTAGTCCGCTCACTCCTTCTAGTTCCTCCCGTATTCCATCTTGTTTCTACTTTTTAATAACCTTAAACCTGTTGTATTAGTTAAGTTGCTCCTCATTAGAGTCTAAAGAAATTTCTCTAGAGATAAATGGAAAAGGGACTGTGTCATGTTTTCTTTGTATCTCCAGTAGCTGCACAATGTCTGAAAGGCCATATGCTTTCAGCAATTCAGGGAAGCACCGGAATACCTAGGAAGTAAAACGAACAGACACAGATGCAGTGCTTAGAAGATACAGTGGTAGGGTGGAAAATAGAAGATGCAAGAATGACTCCAGATCTTTTGTTGTGGGTGGCAACAGCTAAAGGACGATACTGTCAGCAGAGGTAGGACATACAAGGGATGAGTGGGATCAGGGAGAAGAGAGAGAGAGAAAGCAGGTTCATTTCTGACCTGTTGTATACCTCTTCATCTCCATTAACCAAAATTATAAGGCTTGGAGATTCATTATTTAGAAGTTGCTTTCTGGATGTATTTTAAATTTACCCCCATGGGGATTTATTGTAAGTTAAATTCATATAGCATCAAATAAATAAAGTGACCGTAATTTTTTTCTTGTAATATTCATCAGAAAATTAAAACACCATGGATAGTGAGAAATAACAAAACTAAATCAGAAAGAAAACAGACAAATGAGTTTAAAGTCTTTTGGTTTTGGGGGGATAATACAGCATGCTTTCTTTTTTGTTGTTATTTTGCGTATTTTTAGTTTTGCTATTTGATTTTTAAGCTGTGATTGAAGGTATCTACTTTGATCGCCATGTGGTCTTGACAGCCTAAATTAGTTCTTTAAAATGATGCAAGTTTCTACATGGGACTTGTATAGTTAATGTATTATTAATAAAATAACCACTTAAATAAATTAGATTCTCCTGCTAGTTTAAAATTCATTTGTCTCTTCATTATGTCTCCAGTAAACTGTTTTAAATTCCTGTCTTCACAAAATAGAGTAAGTGTACGTTACTTTTTCCTTTTTATAACTCTTTTCCTTTACTTCCTTTGTGCAGGAATATGACCATTTTATAAGATATTACTGCTATAGCAAGTCTAAGTCTCTCATATTCCCAGTTTAATTTTGCATTGTGCTGTGCTTATATCAGAATTATAAAATAGATGTATGTGCAGTGTTTCCACAACCACTGTACATTTTAAAGAAAAAATAATATCATTTAAAATATTTTCTTTACCATGTAGTCTTCACCAGACAGAGAAGGGCCTTTCTGACTGAGATTAGACAATAGCGCCGACTTCATTCTTTATGCACGTGACAGAGAGGGCTTGAGGTTATTAGTTGAAACCGAGTAACCTTTCCAGGCTTTCATCTCTTTCTTTTCAAATTTGAATATGAAAAGCATATTCAAGTCAAAGACCATCACTTTAATGACATTTGGCAGTCATTTGATTTATTAGGTTTTAGAAAAAAATTTCCTTTAAATATTTCATCATACTATGCTAATCCTAGTAATATTGCCAGCTGCAGCCTTGTACCTGTATTAGTGGAGACAGAATGGTGTGGAATTTTCTGTCATCCTAGTAAAATTTCCATGAATCTACTGAATAATAAAATAACCTTATTGAAATATTCAGATTTGAGTTTTTAGTTAAAGTGTCTTAGAATACATAATAAAAGAAAATGTCTTTTGAAAGAAGGGGGTAAAATTACTTCATCAAATATTGAGGGTGTTTGACAGCAATGGAAATGGCTCTTTGTGGGCACCTTCTTACAATAGGGTACTTACGTTTTTTAATTTGCTTAACTGTGTGTTCTGAAATACCTATGTAATCACTAGGGTGAGTTTGCATGCTGGTGGTAGACATTTAACAATGTATTCCTACAACCTGGCCACATAAACACGTGTTGTTTTCATGTTCTTCTAGTTGTTATTTGAACTTATATGACTGACAGTGGCATGACTCTCATAGTAAAGATGAATTTTGAAATAAAAAACAAATTTTAAATTGTAAAAAAAAAATGAGGAAATATTGAGCTGTTCATACCATAAGTGCTAAGTGAAAAATAAATTATAAGAAAATATGTGTTAAATTAGGTGGAAGATTTTGGTTTTTTTTGTTTGAAAATGTGTTACTTATTGAGTGAAATATATTGTGGCAGAAATACGATAGTGAACTGTAGTTTCTGCTCTAGTTACCGTAGCTTGATATGGCTACATATATTAGCATAATAGCTAGAAAGTGTTCAACAGGCTTTGATCTCTGAATAATTGAAGCTTTCTCAGGTACTATGGATTAAATAAAGCAATGATAAACATGTACTTCATTACCTAGTTTGAAACAAGGCCAACTGATGCTTGTCATTCTGAAAGCCATGGGAGATGAAGACCTCATAATCTTCACTCCTCATAGACTACCAATGAGTATTTATAGCCTCAAATGTAAATCAGGAGACTATTGCCATGACACTGTTAACTTCAGACCCTGGGGCGTTCAAATCTCGTTCTCTCTCTGTCATGAATAATCTCTCATGTGTAACATACAGTAGTGTGTGTTTCATTCCAGAAACCCATTGGCTGTGCCATTTCATTTTAAACTAATAGTATAAAAGAATGAATGATTTTTTTATTTTGTTTCTTTATTGTGTTTTGTTTGTTTTGCTCTTTAAACAGCTATCAGAAGAAATTCGAATTGAAATCATAGCTCTGAGCCTTAATGATTCTCGAATAACCATGGACAACACTATCCAACAACTGTTCATTGAGTGCCGATTCTACAGTCTTCCTGCTGAAGAGACACCTGTGTCACTTCCAAAGCCCAAGAATGGGCAGTGGGTCTACTATAACTATACCAATGGTACAGATGATGTATTTGTAATAGGGACTTCTATGTGTATAGTTTGAGTTTTTGTTGTTGTTATAAGATTGGTTTGGGGGAAGTTATTGCTTTATTTTTTTTGTCAGTGAGAGATGCTAAAGAAACAAGCAGAAAGTTTAATTCTTGATGCTCACATGAATTCACTGAAGTCTTATCAGAATAGATTAATAAAAGCCAGAGCTGTAGTGTAACAATTAAGAAAATTACATTGAAGTAATTGTAAAGTTAAGAGAAAACAGGGCTGGAGAGATGGCTCAATAGTTTAAGAGCACTGCCTGCTCTTGCAGAGGACCGGGTTTCAGTTCCCAGCACCCATATGGTGGCTAACAACCATCTGTAACTTCAGTTCCCTCTTCTGACCTCTGAGGGACCCACATGCACTTACATATATGCAGGCAATATATTCATACACATAAAATAAAAATAATAAATAAAAATTTTTTAAAAGAGAAAACAGGCTGGAGAGATGGCTCAGCAGTTAAGAACACTGGTTGTTCTTGCAGAAGACCTGGGTTCGAATCCCAGCACCCACATGGCAGCTAACAACTGTCCTTAACTCCAGTCCCAGGGGATCTGACAGCCTCTTCTGACCGACATGGGTGCACTTACCTACATGCAGGCAATACATGCATACACATAAAATAAAAATAATAAACTTGAGAGAGAGAGAGAGAAAGACAGTGGGAAAAGAGCCTGTATGGCTGTTCCTCCTATATTATAGTATCCACAGAAAAATGCCACCTAAGTCTGAAGTTGAATTTCAGTTGGAAAAATGTGACTTTTCAAAAGAAGGAAATAAACTAATTTTTTAGTGATAGCATTCAAATCATTCAGTGGCTTAATCTTACCTTTCTGATCACATAAAGGTTTCTACACTGATGTATATCTCTCTCAATGTTGAAATTTGAACTGAATGAAGCCTCAGTTCTTACCACGCCTTTTGTTAGCTGACCCATGTGCACAGTCACTGAAGCAGGCAGGTTTCTCTCTTTGGGCCTGGTCTATCAGCCAGTTGAAATGTGATCTATTGGACCAAAACATACCCAATAAGCACCCTGTAAATTCTTAGATCAATCAGTACTCGGGAATTTTTAATAATATAATGTGATCATCAGTGTAGAATCAGAGGGAAAACAAAGTTCGTCCCAAGCCACCATCACCAAGAGTTGAAACTTCTTATACTTTATCCTGGAGCCCATGTGGACTCATGAAGACCGGGCCACCATGCGGAATTGTGAAGATGGGGCCACCTCATCTTCTGCTAAGCAGGCCCTGTCATCCTAGTTAGAAACCAAGATTTTTTTTGTCCAATCTTAAAAACTACATTTTAAGAAAAATGTAATCTTGCTGTTGTAGCAGCAGGATTACAAATGATCAAGGCTAGTTTTAGAATTATGTTCATTGCCTGAGAAAGTAATCTCGATGACCCAGAAATCTGATCTAGTCTTCTCTGTATCCACAGTTCTTAGTAAAGGAATGGATTTAGGCAAGATGTTTAAATTTCATACCTTCTTCTAAGAGCCCTTCCCACTCTGTAACAAGAGGCGGCTGGAGAAGTCATATGGGAAATAGGCACTGTAGCCAGGGAAGAGTCAGAGTGCTTCCTTTACTTACTTGTTATGAAAGAAGCATTTCCAAAACTGTCTTCTCCAGCTTCCTACAGATGCTTGATTGCAAGTACCAAAAGAGTAAGCATATCAAAATAGAAATAGTAGTGAAAGAGATGTTTGGTTACTGTTGATGAGGATACCCCAATGAAAGAGACAGACTTACTTGGCTTTTTGTATTCTGTGTAAAGATCAGCAGTAGAATGTTTAGCTAGACTGGCAACAAAATTGTTCCCAAGAAATTGGTTGTATACTGAGAAATTTGACCTTGTAGCAGAACAGATGTTTCCATTTGCCTGAAGAGCATGTTGAATCCTCTGGATCAAACATGTAGTACATGCTACGGCATCCTGAATTGTGTGCACACGATTTGCTGAGGTCTGCTGGGTTTTGTTGTTTGCTTGCTTTACTTGTTTTTTGTTTTGTTTTGTTTTTTCCTCTTTATTGCAAAGTACCTTACTATCTGATTGGTATTTTAAGAGCTGCTCATGTTTCTAATGAATTAGCCATTTGATGGCAAAAAAAAAAAAATCTGTTTTATTATAGAAGAGACTTCATTAGAAATACTTACTATACTTTTCTTGCTTCTATTCCTATCTATTGAGTTTTGACCAATAATAATTGGAAAGAATTTTAAGATTATTTTATTTGTGAACAGAGGATAGGACTGTATAATGATGTTTTTACCTACAAAACTGAAGTCATAGGTTATCAGCAAATTTGAGAAATAATTGCTTTATTGGTAGTTTTAATTTTCATTTAAGTACAGCAGTGGAAATCTTTATTCTTAAATCATTATATTTGCATCCCTGTTGCAAGGAGATCTCCTTGAATCTTTGGTTAATAAGAAACTATTGCATCAATTATTGTAATGATTTACCATTCACTTGTTACTTGGTAGAGAAAGTCAATATAATACAGCCTTACAGCTTTTAAATCTCATTAAATGTTAATGAAAGTCATTTTATTTCCACATTTGCTTTTGAAATTCAATGCAAGATTTAGGGCACAGTTAGGACACGCTATCTATCGTGTGAACACCTACCTCCCTGTAGAGAGGTTCACTGAACCCGACCCTGATTTTGGTCTGCATTGTAATTTGAATGTACACAAAAGGAATTTGAATGCTGGGGCCTAAATTAGGTACGTAAGAGGACTGGACTAGACTGGCAATCCTCAGGATTATTCATAATCAAATTCAGTCTTTATGAAAAGTTGTTAATGCCAGTTCTGCCTGCATACAAAAATGTATCTTCTTAGGACTACTATCACTGAAAAAACTGAAGTTGAATTTACTCACTAGACTTTGGTATCAAGAATAAAATATTTGCATTTTATTGGGCTTGAAATTTTTACTTTGAGAATGCTGAGAAAGCAAGAAGATAGTTTGAGGGGAAAAGATTAATGGTAGACCTGAAGAATGTTGTCTGGGCTGAACAGAGCCTTCAGGGAATTGACAGTGGGAAGAAGAAAGATTAATGAAATCGTCCAGAGTTTTTATGAGACTTACACAGCTCTGGACCTTAGTCTCTGAGGATTGAGCAGTCTGTCTTTTGGAACAATTAAAGTTCAGTTCAGAAAATGAAAAGGATATAGAACATTAGATTTTGTTAATAATAGAAGGAGGAATTTTGGCAAAGATAAAGATTATGGGAGAGTTAATAATTCTTCAATATAAAAGTTATCTAAGATCCAGGACTGGAGAGATGGTTCAGCATTTAAGAGCACTGGCTGTTCTTGCAGAAGCCTGTGGTTCAAATCCTAGCACCCATATGGTAGCTAACTACCGTCTGTGACCTCGGTTCTGGGCACTGCATGACAGGGGTGCACTTACATCCATGCAGGCATAAATAACACTCATACACATAAAAATAAGAAATAAAATTTAAAAGTTATCTAAGATTCAAGATTATCAATCCATAATTAACCATTTACATTTGACATTGATAGAGAATATAAGGATTTCTCCAGCCTACAGAAGTGAGGGACACTTTCACTGTGTTTTTAATTGCCAAGATAATCACACATCTTGGTTTGGGGATGTAGTAGGTACTAGAGAGCTTGCTTACACACGTGATTCTAGTTATTTATCTTTATGGACTACAGTGTGATATACATGGATATATCATGTGATGTTCAAATCAGACTAAGCCTGTTTGTCTTTGCTAATGTTTATCATTTCCTTGTGGCAAAAGTATTAAAAATCCTTTCCTCTAGCTTTTTTGAACCATAGTACGCTAACACAACAGGACTTACTTCTCTTATCTAACTATAACCTAGTGCACATTGATCAATCTTTCCCCATCCCTCCCATCCACCTGGTCCTCAGCTTCTGGTAACTATTACTCTATTCTCAGTTTCTGTGAGATCAACTTCTTTAGATTCCACTTCTGCTATCCCAGCTTATTGTACTGAACATAATGACCTCCAGTTTCATTTGTGCTGTCACAAGTGACAGAATTTCATCCTGTCTTGTGACTGTTATTAAATTGGGTGGTTGAACAGTGTAACTTTTGGAGAGTTCTGATACTTTTAGTGTTTACTATAATTACTTTTTGAAGGGTGTATGTAAAATTTGAAATTATAAAAAGATTAACCATGTATAGTTTCAGAGTCCCACATGAATCTTGGTGTTCACAGGATCATAGGGTCATGCCCTAGTCATAGGTGGTTGATGTGTCCCTCTTTCCCACAGCATTGAACACATTGAGTCTTCAGTCATTCCTGATCCCATTTAACAACAGGGTAAAGGAATGTATAACACCTAACCAGCATCAGTAGCAGCAAGACAGTAGATGCTAGAGTTGCAGATTCTTAGATGCCCTGCATCAGAAACTCTGAGGTTGCAGCACAGTAACTGCATTTTACCAAACCCTCCAAGGGACTATGATGTATGTTAAAACTGAGAACCACTAAGCTAAATTAAGATGCCTGATCGAGACTATGTTAGTACAAAGATTGTCACAGTTCCAAGTTAATACACTTTTGAAAAACTAAATTTTTTGGTAAGGAGCTAGAATTTGTTTTACTAATATGAATTTTTAAAGTTTTCAACCAAAATATTTGATTTAATGAGAGTAGATTTATCTAATCAATAGCGCTTTATGAAAGAAAGGAGAATCAGGTGGCTACCCTGGATTCAGTTATAGGCCTCTTCGACACTCCAGCCACCCTGACAAAATACCTGCCACTGAAATGGCAGGAAAAGCTTGGCTTCATAGGGAATGGGGAGCATAATGCAGAACATAAGAGAACAAGTCTAGGACAGGACTGGATTCAGGTTCTGACTCTGGTGTGCTCTAATTAGGTTCTTTGAATAAACTTCTAACCTTCTCTGCTCTGTTTAGTCTGTAAAGTATAGGTCATCCCGGCCCTTAACCCTGTGGTTGCAGTAAACATTTGAGTATAGTGCCTAGAACATAAACATCCTCAGTAAATGCTGGCTGATACCACTTTTGTTAAGAGAACAGGAAATGCACTGCGCCAGCCCATGCGGTGAAGCAGAAACACGTAATTTGGTGTAGGGATGTTTTGTTTTATTTTTCAAGGACTACCATAAGGCTCAGTAGTTCTGCCTCTGAGTAAATAGTACAAAGAATTGAAACCAGGGACACAGGTATTTTATATCAGTGTTCAGTACCCACAACTCCTAGAACATAAAAACAACCCACATGTCCATCACAGGATGAGTGGGGAAAAAATGTGTTGTACACACACAGTGGAATATTATTCAGCCTTAAATAGAATGAAGTTTGAGATATGCCACAGCACAGATGAACCTCAGAAACATCAGTGCTAAGTGAAATAAGCCAGAGACAAAAAGTCAAATGTTATGACTCACTTGGAGGAGATTCATTGAGACAAAAAGTACAATAACAGAGGCTGGAGGGAGAAGGGAATGAAGACTTAGCGATGAGGAGTTAGAGTTTCAGTTTGGGATGAGGAAAAGATTCAGAAATGGATAATGGCAAGAAATGCAACAGCAATATCAGCGTACCTAATATCATTCAACTATAAAATAGTTAAACTGGCCAGCACTCAGGAGGCAGAGGCAGGCAGATCTTTGTAAGTTCAAGGCCAGCCTGGTCTACATAGTGAGTTCCAGGCCAACAGGAGCTACAAGGAGACCCTGTCTTTAAAAGACCTCCCCCCAAAAAAAAGAAAAGAAAAAAAGTTAAACTGGTAAATTTTATATTATGTATGTTGCCACCATTTTTTTAATTGAAACTATTGAGATTCATTAAAACTGATCTAGGTTTTATTTTCATTTGTTTATCAAAGACTCTAAGAAATTATGGTAATAGCATTCATGTCAAGACACAAATCAGTCTGAAACCCTACAGAGAGTAATCACTGTTTCAACCTTAACCCCTTTTAAAATGTAGTATTATTGTGGGTGTATGTGTATATGTGATACATATGTGAGAATGAAGGCACGTGTGTCACAGCATGAATGTGCAGGTTAAAGGACAACTTTTGGAAGGAAGTTGTCTCGTTCTCCCTATGGGTTCCAGGGATTCAACTCGGGTCACTGAGTTTGCTCAATAAGTACTTTTACCTGCTGAGCCATCTCACCACCCTGCCCCAGTCTTTTCTTACCTGCTGAGCCATCTCACCACCCTGCCCCAGTCTTTTTTTTTTTTTTTTTTTCATTGCTGTGGTCTTCAAATGATGTGACCTGAAAGCTTTGGGATTCTGAAGAGTATATGGTATGCCACATCTTGAATTAAAACAAAAACAAAAACAAAAAAATTTACCTTGCTCTATTAGCACCCTCTAAAAATGAGGTACTGTCTACCAGCACTAATGAAACTCATATATCAATAGGATTTTGGCACCCTTCCTGTTAGATGATGAGCCACATACAGTCTGGCATCGCACAAGCAACCCAGTTCTCAGGGGCTGGTTAAATTGGTTACCTTGTCTTCAGTACTTCTTACTCCTCCTGAGCCACTGTCACCTCCATACAGGCATCCCACTCCATGTGCCTAACTCCTGTGGGGTATATCTTTTGGTCTCAGTTAATATTTGCTCAAGTGAGCCAAATAGTTTAACAAGTTGATAGCATTATAATTTAGAACCAAACTGAAAGTTTTAACAAGTTGATAGCATTATAATTTAGAACCGAATGTTTCCTGGGAAACATTCTCAGTGTGAAATGTGTTTGTTCCCAGCAGAACCCAAAGAGCACCAGCTCCAGAATCATCACGGTACTATTCCCTGTGAGCACTTTTGATCTGGCCAAAGGGGAGGGAGCCTTATGTCCAGAAGGGCATCTGAAAAGGGATGTCTTCAGCAGCAAAGGCATGTGTCAGAGTCTGCTGAGCCAAGCTGGCCATCAGGATTCAGTGTCTGCACTCTCAAATGCTTCATCCTGCTGCCACTTTAGATGCTTGGCTAATCTCTGTTTCAGCTTCATTCCTGAATCCAGTACCTTCCAAAACCTAAAGAGTATTCACACGTCAGAAAGCCCCTCTCCTTTCCTCCCCCACACAAGGCAACACCAGCCTTAGATTCCCTTGCCTGCACACTAGATGCCTGTTTTATTGAATGTGGTAGCAGGAGAGGCGGATTAAATTACTGGGGCTGTCAGGAAGGACAGGCGTGCTGCCATACATTATCATTATCACTCGCTTCTTGGGTAAAAGAAAATACAGTAAATCCCTCAAATACAAAGCAATAAAGACCGCTGGCTTTTACTGTCATGACTGCCAGGGCCATTAACAGGCAGTGACAGTGATGTGGCACTCCTAGATGTTGCTTGTATCTTTTCTGACAAGTGTGCACATAAACCTGCCAGTGGCATGACACTAGATCACATGACTCTTCAGATTTGATTCTGGTTTCTGGAGCTGTTTTCCCGGCAACACAAGCAAGATAGCACGACTTGTATCTTGAAAAACAGGTATTTACAAAAGTACAGAATGGTCCCGATGTAGCATGCCCCTGAGTAACTTCCTCCTGTGAATGTTTTTCTCTTTTGGCATAGTGATCTACTTGGATAAAGAAAACAACCAAGTGGAGCGAGACATCGTAAAAGCCATACTGCAGAAGCGAGAGCTGCCTCACAGAAGGTATGCTTATAGCAAGTTTATAGAAGAAAGCAGAGCACCATAGTGGTGTGTTAAGGAATCGGAACACGGGTTCTGTGCCGCCATCCATAACTGAGCGCTTGACTTCTGGGTCTCTTTCCTACAAAAAAATAACTGTGAGGACCTGTAGCACTTTGAACACTGAAGCATGTAGTATCACGGTGTCCTTGGTGTGTAACTGCAAGGAAGAGGGGAGAGTGAGCATGTCACATGCTTGGACACGAATTCCTGTTCCATCACCTTGGCAATGCCTGTCCTCAGACTAATTATTTCTTCCCTGTGCTTCCTTTTCTTCATCTGGGACATGAAGATGGTACCGAGTAGAGTTGTTATAAGGATAAAATGAGAAAATAGACATACCACAGATAGAATAGCCCCTGACACATTGGAGGTGCACAGTAAATCATTGCAGAAATAAATAGTATGAACCATAACAGCTCAGCAGCCTCTCAGACTAGGCTGCATCCTACTCTCACTGTGTAATGGTCCCTTTTTTATTATTTTGGGTGCATTTTTAAAACTTTTAATAGGACACTTTAAAAATTCTTGTTGTTAGAGAAAATAAATCATTTTTGGAAGAAAAGACGTTGGTCTTCAAGAGCGAATGCTTCTGAGCAAGCAGCATCTCAGTTTGCCTGGCTTCCAATGCTGCTGAGCGCCCCCACCGCCCTGCTAGCTCTGCCCCTGGCCTGGCCAACGCTTCCTCTCCATTGTCCTCTCCTCTGTGCCTTCCCTTTGCCAGCCTTTGCTGCTTCAGAATAATGCTCCTCCTGCTACCTCAGGAACAGTCTTAAGTTGTTGCCTTTCCACGAGGCCATGGAGTGAATGTTAAAGACGCTGCGATTTTTCAGAAGAACTTCCTAACACGTGTTCTCATTTCACAAGGAAAGTCTAGGATTCTCAGTCCATGGGCTCAGAGAGTCGCTTTTGCAGTGAGTCCTCAAAATAGTCTTCTCTGGATCTCTTTTGCTCCTGAAGGGCCAGGAGAAGCCCTGTCACAAGCCTGTCACAAGCTCCTGCTTTTCCCAGGACAGTCCTCACTCAAGATTTACTTAGTAATTCCTATTCTTCTGCTTCCTTCACAGGCCCTTCAAAGCCCGCCAGCCCCCAGGGTTACCACACAAGTCCCTGGTGCATAAGCTGTGGCTATGGCATTAGCTTCCCTGCAGCCAACAAACCTGGTGGTCACTGCAGGTCCTGGGCTGGACGAGGTAGCAGCTCGGGCTTCTCATCTGCCCATGACTTCTTTGTTTCTGGAATCTCCATTTTGAGAAAGAACAGTTCTGTTACCTCCAAAGTGTTGGTTTACAAAATGAAAACACATAGGGCTGGGGATCTAGCACCCTTGGTTAGCCTGAGTGAGCTCTTAGGTTCCATTCCTAGCACTGCAGAAAAAAAGAAAGGCAGGCCACTATAACTCAGTAACTCCTGCCTTACCTTCATTGTTTCTCTAAAGACGTCCAAATGTCCCTCACAAACACAAATGTTGTGTCATGTTTTCAGAAAAGCCTAGTGTGGGCCCCACATGGAAAGTGAGTGTTGTGTGAATATGGGAATGCCTCTCACCTCCCCATGCTGAAGAAAGAGGGGAGACCTACCCTTTCCCACAGCCAAAGCCAGTGATCATTGTAAAGAATGTTCTCTCCTTCTGAATACACAGTGGTACATTCTTTTTTAAAAATATTTTATTATTTTTATTTTATGTGTATGAGTGTACTGCCTGCACGTAGGTAAGGGCACCTGTGTTGTACAATGCCCGCGGAGGACAGAAGAGGCCAGCAGATCCCCCAGAACTGGAGCTACGGACAGCCGTCAGCTGCCATGTGGGTGCTGGGACTTGAACCTGGGTCTTCTGCAAGAACAACCAGTGTTCTGAGTCCTTCTTATAGAAGTTAGACAGCCTATATTTATAAAGTGATGTGGATATCATCCTGAAATATGAGGTAAAAATATATAAAGTGTCAAGGTACCTAAGAACCTGAAAATCGCCCATTTCTCTTATACCCTGTGTGTCTCACGCTCTAGGATGTACTCATTGGCACTGTTAGGAGGCTGGTGCATCACAGGCAACAGGCATGGGGTCACATGGCACTTTTTCTCCCTCTTTCTAGTGCGTTCATTTTAAGGCAGCTTTCTTCATTAATGGACATCTTTAATAATTAGTATATAATTTCGGAATCCAACCATGTTTTCCGTTGGAACAAACTTTGTCCATTTGCTCAGCTGACTGTGCTCCAGGCACTGCTCACTTGTATCGCTTCATCTTATCTTCACAGGAGCCCTCCATCCTCATATGTATAATTATCCTCATTGCACAGAGAAGGAAACTGAGATCAGGGAGGTTAAGTAATTTCTCCAGTGTCACACAGCTAAATAAGTAAAAAAGTCAGAATGTGAACCAAGAACAAATACTTTCACTGCTCCATCCTATTCTCTCTATACTGTGCATCGTGTATAATACTCAAACCACTTGTCAGGATCTGCGCTCTTCCTGAATATTGTGTGAATAGGTGTGAACTTTCATTTTGATTTAGGAGATTTCTGTTTTATAATTTCTTCAAAATTTCTTCCTCGCTTTTTGTTAGTAAAAGAACAAAATTCTGAATGCTTGTCTTTAGTAAATTGCTTAAAAATATTGTCCTGTTTACCTATAAGCATTTGGAAAGTATTTTATTTGTATCTATCAAGGCATGATTTCACAGAGACTTGGATTTTTCTGTTTCTTGTTTTTCTGATTTGTGATAGATATGTTTCACAGAGTTTAAAACACTAAGGTTTACAAGCACCCGTGGTTTAGGCTAGGCTGCCAAGACATATCAAAAGAGTACTTAACTGTAAATTCCTGTCATTTGGTCAATCCAAGTGTATTTGGCCTCAGCACAGGCCACTAATTCAAATCAGTTCCATCAGAACCCTGCAATTATGTGTCTAAAAGTAAAATAAAACTTGGATTCTATGATTGTAAGTTAAAAGATTGCTGAAGCAATCCAAACATCTGATACAGCCGCTGGGCAAAACTGCAGCCTTTATCTGTTGGGATTCAGACTGTTCCCCAGGCAGGGCAGCCTCTACATTTTGTAGAACAACACATAGAATTGGATACATTGCTTGCTACCAGCCCCAGAGCTGTGCACTACTAAAGAAAGCATGTGTTTCTGCAGAAAATTCTGACTGTTTAACCTCCATAGTCTTTATGCATTTTATCCTTGTAGTCTCAAAAGTAGAGATGTCAAAATATCAGCTATTGTATAGTAGTGTGAACATCAAGTCCTTCCCCTTGTCTGGTCATTTTCTTCAATTCTGGAGGTAATTGCCATCCATGCTTAGAAAGGAGCTTGGTGCCCATTCAAAAACTGGGTGTTCTGTGAGGTTTTAGTAGTTCAGCTAAGAATGTCCCTAATGTCTTTTCTAGTGGCATCTTTGAAAGTGTCACAAAAACCCACGTGGCAGGTGTGTGTGTGTGTGTGTGTGTGTGTGTGTGTGTGTGTGTGTGTGTCAGTGTCCTGTCCCACCATGGTAACAATCCTCTCTCTCTCGTGCCTTCCCAGTGTTCGCTTCACTGTGGTCAGTGACCCTCCCGAGGACGAGCAGGATCTGGAATGTGAGGATATCGGTGTTGCTCACGTTGACCTCGCTGACATGTTTCAGAAAGGGAGAGACATCGTTGAGCAAAATATCGACGGTATGAATGCTAGTGGAGCTCAGTTTGCATAGCCAACAGCAGCCAAAGGCTATATTCTATTCAGACCTCTTCCTGCCACCCAGAGGGGCTGCTATACCCTAGCAGAAGCCTGTGCTACTCAAGCTAACATTACTACAGCCGTAGCCTGTCTTTGTACCCTCCCTTTCTCTGCCCTTCTGTAGCTAATAGGAATTTTTAAATAATTGAGCTTCACAGGAACTATGCATTTTTTGGTATTGGGGGTAAGGCACTCAACCTTAAGCGTGTTGCTCTGTGTGGAAGCCTCTTCTAACGCACTTGGCCTTAAGTGCGTTGTGAATCGTGGCGGCGTCTTCTCAAGGCTTCCCTTTAGTTTAGCGATGCAGTGTCATAATATGATGTGGTTCCTTAGCTAGCTCTGAGTAGTTTAGGTCACTCCTTTCCTGACAGGATTCCCAGTAGGGGATTCTTCACAAAATGTGCCGCCTAGATTTTCACATTACCAGGTGTGAGTTCCAACAGTGCTTAATTTCTGCCTTCTGTTCTTATCACACACACTTAGCACATGCTGAAGAGTTTGTGTGTTAGTAATCACAATCAGAAGGCCCGGGCCACACACAGTGGTTCTCACCGGTTAAGTTGACAAGAGCCCTTCAGAAAGTGTACTTGCTTTCTTGATTTACTTATTCAGGCCAGTCAAACTATTTCCCTGAGCACCTTTTAAGGGGTCACTTATTCTGTAATACTGTGGTACCTGTGTGAAACTGCTAGTCCTGGGCAGATGACGGGTGCTTAGAAGCCATGATTGAACCAAATGATTGTCCAAGTTAAATCAAATAAACAAGCAGACACCTGTTTGGAAGTCTTAAAGTAAGCTTATCTAATTTAGGGGCAGTTGGTTATACTTGGGCACAAAAAGATGACTAGATTAAAATACTAATCTAAGATGGGTATGACAGTACATGCCTTTAATCCTAGCACTCTGGAGGCAGAGACAGGCCTAGTCTACATAGGGAGTTTTAGGCCTGCCAGGGCTATATAGTGAGACCATCTCAAAGAAAAAAAAAAAAAAAGTACTAATCTAACCCCTATTAAAGACCCTAGGACCAATGAAGTCTGACAGAAATGACCAAAATTAGTTGCCCACCTCTTCCTGTGAGTCTGCAGAGACCATTCTGGGCCAACACCCAACTGTCAAATCCATGTTTGGGGAGCCAGTCAGATGATTAAGCACTAGTCCCAGCATCATGGTAATGCCTTGCTCTGCTTCACATGGAAGTAAACGGTCCCAGGAAAAGAAGCTGGGCACCACTGGGCTGCTCTACTTGCCAGTGGCTAGTCTCTCTACCCTCATGTCCATCAAGTTTTCATTGAAGATTTCCTCAAAAATTTTCTTTGAAGTAAAACACACATACACGTAGGTTAATGCAGTAGCTGAAGTTCATCTATTCGGGAGGCTGAGATAGGAGGACACTTGAACACACACACACACACACACACACACACACACACACACGCATCATTGAAGTTCAAGGAAATAAAGTTCAGGTTCAACAAACTACAAGGCTGGTAAGCACAAACAAACTCACAAACTCCAGGATTCTGGCCTTGGGTCCCTAACAAATGTCACTCCCCAGCCAGTGGCGTCTGGGGGCTTGAATTGACATCCCACCAGGCTGTACTCAGAGAAGCCCCGACCCCAGGACTTCAGTTAAGTAGTCTGTCTTTGGGACCCATTGAAAACTCTTCTAAGGAAAGTCTATGTCCAATCCACAAACCTTAATGTTCTTGAGTTGTCTGTTTTGTTTTTCTAATTTTGCATGAATCCTACTTGTAATGGAACATCTTCTTAGGAAGATCGGTAACCAATCCTGATGCCGTGTCACACATTAACATTTGCTGGCTTGAAGTTTGATATTCACACAATATTTTGGATGAAATTCTGAATGTGTGGGAGTCAGTACCCTATAGCCTTTTTACTAGGTAACCAGGATTCATTAGTTTTTACTCCACAAACAGCACACGTTGCAGTGTATCTGAAATGTGTATTTTCATTCATATACATGGCTGGGTTTAGTGTGAATGTAGAGCTCTCACAGAACTTCTCCACAGTTGTCTGATCTAGCATCCAAGAAAACTGCTGAACGGTGTTGACTTTTTGCTGCTATTTTCTCCCTAGTTTTTGATGCCCGAGCAGATGGTGACAGCATTGGCAAGCTGAAGGTGACCGTGAAAGCTCTCCATGCCCTCCGGTCTTTCTACGAGCAATACAGAGAGGACTTGGAGGCTTGAAAGAAACTGTTCCAGAGGCATCTCCTCCTTCTGAGAAGATGCCCACATAAAAGCCGAAGGGTTTTTGTGATCACCCTGGCGTATGTAATCTATAATTCATGGGGAACCAGAAGGGAACGCCTGGGTTTAGGCTTGAAATGTTCAAATTTTGTATAGTTTTTCATTGGTTTATTTTCCTATCCCCTCCTTCCCATGACTGCCACCCCTTAGGACTTCAGTTCTCCTCAATGGGTAGCACCTTCTCAATAATTTATACCTACACGATAGCATGAAAATGTCTACTTGCATTTTCAACATTTTCTTATGAAGAACAGGGATGTCATTCCCCTTTTTATTTTTCATAAGCAAAAGCATAAATCATAGGAAACCTATGAAAAAGAAATACTTTTATGTTTTCCCTAATCATCCCACTAAATGGAGTGCCTCTGATTAGCCTCATTAGGATTTTTATACTGTGAAGATTTTATTAGAAGCAATATATGAAAATTATTTGGATTAATGTGTTAATCTTCCTCTTTAAAATGCTAATACCCATTTTATGCACATTAAAGGCTCAGTATGCATTTTCTTTGATGCATACAGTTTCTATCAATTAAATATAAAGGAGACTTGGCACCAACTTTCTAAACTACTCCAAGTTTTTTGTTTTTCATTAAAATTGTAATTGTTCCCATTTGTATGATACTCATGTATTTGTAATGGTGATATGGGATCCCTGGTTGTATGCATATAAAGAAGACCAGATGATGACAGATGATAGATAGATGATAGATAGAAGATAGATAGATAGATAGATAGATAGATGACTAGATAGATAGATAGATAGATAGGCAGATAGATTCACACTTTTCAAAAACTTGTTATGACATAGAAAAAATTAAAGTAGGACTCAAATTCTGAAATGTTTAGTTAAACATGAAAAGAGAATCCTTTATCATTTTTTTAAACTTACATCAAGCTTGTACAATGCTGGGATGTATCTGGATAGCCAGATCCTCAAAAAGCAGCTCAGAAAGTTAATTTTCTAGCTGTTACCCAATCTTGCTGAACGGTTTAATTGATATTTTTAATGGAGCTGTGAATCAGTGCTGCAAAGGAATTGTCTCTGGAGGTCTAGGATATTATGCATTTCATTTTTTAATTTACTTTTTTATTTGTCATTTTCTTCAAAGGATTTTTATAGGCTGTGGGTTTTCACTGTTTGCAAACAGGCTATTCCTTCTTAAGCATATGTAAAGTATTCAGGGAGATAAGTAATTTATTAAAATCTACCTAATTTGCCGTGATATATTAAATCTCTGCTTCAGTGATCACAGACCATTTCATTTAGAGAATTAGGCATTCCCTCTTTGTGTGATTAAAGCTCTGGAAAATGAGTTCTTTGCTCCTATTTGTGAACATTCAAAGCCTGCTAATGGCAAGAAGATGGAATAGATTATGAGACAATTCATTACAGTTCAACAGGGGAAAAAAGCAGCTATAATGCAAAAATGCAAGTATGAATATCTGCATATAGTTTGAACCATCTGTGCTCTACTGGCTTCAATAATGACTCTCATCTTTAGGCAGCTTTGAAATGACATCCGTACAATATTAATTTGTTGACGTACATTGTGGGACCAGTGAAGGATGATCTGACCACAGAATTCTATAAATTCTGTCTGTACCACTGGGCCTCCCTGTCCTGGGGCCTGCCATCTCCAAGGGGAATCTTACTCTCATCAAACTCTGCAAATCTTCGTAACAACTCATTCCTCTGGAACCTTCTAGCAACCACAAACATCTGCAGACAAAACCTCTCCAATCCTAGTAAACAACCACATGTTTGTTGTCACTTTAGCTGGCTCTGAGCTCATCTTTTTGGCCTTTCTTTCTAGCTTTCTTTGGCTTTATGCAGTTACAGTGTCATTAAGGCCCATAATATTCCCTGCAGTAATTTAAAACAGCCAGATTATACCCTGGGATTAACTGAGTGGTTTGTGAGACATTTATTGTGGTATTCTCCCAGGAGGCTTGCATTATTGTTTTAAAATGTTATATCCCAAACTAAATAACCCTTTCTGCAAGGAGAAGAACAGGATTGTGCTGACTTCTTAGGATCTTTAAGTAGACAGAAGAAGTTTTAATCAGAAAACTTCCACAAGCTAGTCAACTGTGTAGAATCTATTCCTCAAGTAAAATTAGGGATTTAGCCAGGTTTCTCTCACACTGTGTTTCCTAGCCTTCTTGCAAACTTTCCTAACACTCACTTCACACATACTGGCTACTGACACATTTTGAAGTGGGAAAGTCATAAAAAGTGCTCTCCCTGAAGTCCATTTGGGGTCTTTGTTTTGTCATGTATTAGTCAGAGTTCATTGAAAAGTTCATCTCCTTTTGGATTAGAAAGCAATCGTTTTTTTCTGTGAGCCAGCTTGGGCTAGTAAGGACGGCTGGGATGTCGGGGCTGCCAGCCATGCAGATGTAGCCATTGAAGGTGAAAGCTGTGTGAGCCTCCTGCTCTCTGTAACAGTGCACAGTACTCTCAGCACTTTGGGGGCTGTAGTGCTTTTAGTCTGGAAATATAAATAGAGATGTGATGTGGCGTGTGGGAGAGTGTATTTTACATGTTTTTTTTTTGCCTACCATAGTAGAAATGTCAAATTCCCAGCCACTGTCATGAGAAGCAGTTGACAAAAATAAGTTTTATGGTTTACAGTGTGGTTTACATAGAGAACATTTCTCTTCACTCTCAGTTTCAACATGTTTTCTAAATTATCATGGTTTGTTGCCATTTAACGTAAATTAGTTTTTTTAAGAATAAATAGAGACTATGTTTAATCAAATAAAGGAAGGCCACATTGAAATTCTGCTGTTCCTGCCATTCATTTGTTACCACAAAACACAAATAATTTCTATGTGTTATGAAGAAGTGTGGGCTGAGAAGTGGTCATGTGATTTTGGAGGCTCTGCGTGCTCCCATGTTCCCACAACAAAACATAAATTATTTTAGTAATCTGACATCAAGAACTGTGACAATAAAAACCAGTTCTTACACATGTTCTAACAAAAATCTGATTAACATTTTTGTGGATATGGAAAATAACTTTTTTTAGTCAGGCTGGCACTGCTGCTGAATTTAGAATGATTTCCTTATGTACAAAATAGCAAAATGTGAATCATGTCTGTGAACAAATACGAGAATAAAATGTCATCTTTGTGTAATACAAAACAACCAAGGAAGAGGCTTGGGGATATAAAATCCCTGAGTGATTGACAGTGTCGGGATGGTAATTCGTCCCCAACAATATGAGTACATTTTAGTAAGTCACTCATGCCTAAAGGCCTCTGACTACCTTAACAAAGAGAAACTAAAACCGTGCTTTATTATAGATTGGGCAACACGCCTAATTAAATCCATGAATGGAAGCAAACACAGTTTTACATCCCTTTTGTTCCAAACAGAAACAGCCTCTAGGTCAACCATAAAGCTAGAAAAGATCCAAGTAGTTGAAACAAGAGTTTTAAAACTAAAAATACAGAATTAGAAAACATCCCCTTGTTTTAATCTCTTTCATTTTGCAAGATCAAATTTCCACTTCCATTTCGAAGTGCTGCCAGTAGACTGCACCTCACAGTCTGCCCTCCTGGAAACCCTGCCACCAGGTGCCGGCCCCTTTGTCCTTACTTCTCTGTCTTCCAGATGACAATCACCAAAATGTGCCAGGTTTCTCCTTCAGCTTCCTTAAATGAAGTCTAGCACCAGCAGGCAAAGTATGACTCCCCCCGAGGTAGATGCCATCTTCTTTTGTCCCTCCCTACTCTACAGCGACTCACACTCCCATCACTCTAACAGCATTATATCTCTGTTCACTAAACACCATTTGTTTCCTTTTTAAAAAATAATTAACATCTAAAATTTTTATAGTTCTGTTCTCTAGTCTCTTCATACCTCTGTTCAACTGAACATTGCCCAACTGTGTACATACTGTTTGGTTGGTTGGTTGGTTGGTTGGTTGGTTGGTTGCTGGTTGGTTGGCTTTGGGTTTTGAGAAAGAGTCTCACTATGCAGCTCAGACTGACCTGGAATTCACTATGTAGCCCCCAGTTGGCCTTGATCTTGTGAACCTCCTGCCTCAGCTTCCTGAGTGCCGGAGTATAGGTATGTACCACCATGCCTAGTGTGCCTACTTATTTTGAAAGTTAAGGAGCCTTTTTTCATCTCCACCCTGCTCTTTCTTTTCTTGGTGTTCCTACTTCTCCAGGTACTGGCATCTGTATCCATTCCAGCTCTCAAAATACTCCTTTGTGTGAAGATTTGTCTTTTTAAAGACATTTATTTATTGAGGGGAGTGTGTGCCACTACACACATGTGGAGGTCAGAAGACAACTTAGAGAAGTCAGTCTTGCCTTCCACCATGTGGGACCTAGAGCTTGAACTCAGGTAGGCTTGGCAGCATGTAACTTTAGAGAGCCATCTCACCAGCCCAAGATTTGTCTGGTTTTTTGCTTTGTTTTGTTTTGTTTTTTTTTGTTTTTGAGATGGGGAGGACTCACTATATAAGCCAATCTGTCCTTGCTTGCTTGAACTCATAGTCTGCCTTAACCTCCCTAATAGCTTGGTTGACAGGTATATACCATCATATGTGACACAGACCTGTCTTAATTCACTTAAATGGGGCACTTTTAACACTTTTGGAGCTAATTTTTCTGTCTTTGCTTAAGTCACAGAGGCAGGAACTCCAGAAGTTCTCAGGAATCACTGGTAAGGAAAGAAAGAATTTTTTTTTTTTTTTTTGTCTTTTACTAAAATACTTCAGGGGCTGGAGAGATGACTCGGCAGCTAAAGAGCACTGGCTACTCTTGTAAAGGATCCAGGTTCGGTTCCCAGTATCCACAAGGAGGCTAACAACCATCTGTAACTCTAATTCCAGGGGATATGCCACCCTCTTCTGACCTCCCTGGGCATTGCATGACACAGGTGCAGTTATATACATGCAGGCAATATGTATGCACTCATACACATAAAATTAAAATAATAAATATTTTTTTAAAAAAGAAAATAGCAGCCACTCCCAGGTGGGGGCTGTTTGTGATGGCTTCGGGGTCTCCACAACAATTTTCTCGGTTGAGGTTCAAAAGCCGCCCGAAGCTGGGTCAGTGGAGCTTGAGGTTCTTGTTGGTGTGAAATGACTGAGTACAAACTGGTAATGGTTGGAGCAGGTGGTGTTGGGAAAAGTGCATTGACGATCCAGCTAATCCAGAACCACTTTGTGGATGAATATAATCCCACCATAGAAGATTCTTACCGAAAACAGGTGGTAACTGATGGTGAGACGTGTCTGTTGGACATACTGGACACAGCTGGAAAAGAGTACAGTGCCATGAGAGACCAATATATGAGGACAGGCGAAGGCTTCCTCTGTGTGTCTGCCATCAATAACAGCAAATCTTTTACGGATATTAACCTCTACAGGAGCAGATTAAGCAGGTGAAAGATGATGATGTACCTATATGGTGCGGGTAGGAAACAGATGTGATTGGCAACACGGACAGTTGACACAAAGCAAGCCCATGAACTGGCCAAGAGTTACAAGATTTCGTTCATTTAAACCTCCGCCAAGACCAGACAGTGTGTGGAAGATGCCTTTTACACACTGGTGAGGGAGCTATGCCAGTACCAAATGAAAACGCTCAACAGCAGCGATGATGGCACTCGAGGTTGTATGGGGTTACCCTGTGCGGTGATGTAATGAGATACTTTGAAAGTTCTGTCATAAAAAAAGAGCCGCTTTGAAGCTGCATTGACACCTGGTTCTGACTTCCCTGGAGAAGTGTCCCCTCTGCTTTTCATCCAGAGGAGTGCCTGCACCTTGCCCAGCTCCCACAATAAGCACAGCCCTCTCTGCTTGAGAACTCAGAATGACTACCTCCTCATTTGGTTGTCTGGCCACAGAAGTGGACCTCTTGTTACTCCCCAGTATTTCTCTGACCTGGGTTCTCCCCCCTAGAAACAAACACACCCCTGCCAGCCAGGTCTTTCATCTGAAAAGCAATTTATACTCTGGTGCAGAGAACTAAACTGTAGACATGAAATTTGTTGAAAATGGTTTCTTAAGCTCTCAAGTAGCAACTGCTGGTGGTTCTTTTCCCCTTATGTTGAACCTGGACCTGTGTTAGTTTGGGGAGGAGTGTCATAAATTACTGTTGTGCTGAGAATATAATTAATGTTGTGTGTTGGTTTGTTTGTAATGTGATTAGCTGTATTCTGTAAACTGACATCTGCTCTATATTCATAAATGCAAAAATGAATACTGACTTTGAGTCAAAAAAAAAAAGAAAATACCTCATTAAAATCAAGCTTCTTTGGGATAGCTATGTTCTGATGTAGATCCACATGTTACCGACAGCAAGGAAAATAAGAGAAATTGTGGAAAACAACGTAAGGTGCTATCCATACAGCCGAGATGTTAGGGAGACTTCTGTATGACCAAAATAAGAAAGAAGCCGTCAAACACAACACAGTCAAATCGAATATGTAATACTATCCAAACAACCAAGATACTAGAAAGACTTCTATGTAACCAAAAGAAGAAAGAAAGAAGTTGTCAAATGTAAGACAGACCTATATAGTATGTAAACATCAGGACTGCATAATGGTTTTCATATCAGACTATTAGGCACAGTGGAAAACATGAGGCCCAAACTTTGTCCTGTTAAAGGGAACAGTGGTCCAAGGCTATGTGCACTTTGTCTTGTGTGCACCAAGGAACATAGCCTCAAAGGACAGCAGCCTATGGACTATGGGAAATGCTTACAGCCGCATCAATTATGGTAACAGGTTTTAACCCACAGAGGGTGACAGATCAGAAACTTAGAAAAGTCTAGATTTATTGCATGATTACACAACTTAAATGGATAAAGAATGCACCTGGAACATTTGAAGGACAATCAACTGTGTACTCAACCACAAAGGAAATCTCAATGTCCAAAGTCTCAAAATATACAGACTACATTTCCCTAAGCTGAAGACAGCAGCAAAAACATGGCCAAAACAAAATCCTTTCTAAAAGTCGAAACTGCATTTATTCATTTTCAATTGAAAAAAACCTCAGTATGCTGTTACTGTTTGGGGTCCTACTAGACAAGAAATAATTCACTTCTACAACAAAGTGAAGAAAAAGAACATTCTATACATGCATTTATATGTATATGTAAAGGGGATAAACGTCAACTCAGAAGCCCACTGCAGGCAAGGGCTGAGCATAGCAAAGGCTGACAGAATTCAAGTGACAGCAGAACACAGGTGATATCAGCAAAGGTTCCCACAGGAGAAACCCAGCCATGCTGCATGGCAGAGCACTAAGTCAAGAGCTGGTCTGAGAACTGGTGCTGTGGTTTGGATCTAGAATGTCCCCCAGAGGCTCTCATCTTGGGCAGTAGCCTCTGTTGCTGTTAGGAAGTGGTAGAGCCTGATGAGAGGGATTGAACATTGAGGGTGTGCTTTTGAAGGAGATCCTGGGCCCTAGCCTCCCCCCCCACACACACACACATGCTTTTCCTCCCTCTACCTCTCCTGGCTGCCTAGTAAGCAGCTTTTTACAGCACACACACTTCACCATAATTTTCTGTCTCATCACAGACTCAAAACAGCAGGGCCAAGTGATCGAGGACTGAAAACCTGAAACTATGAGTCAGAGCAAATCTTACTGCAGTGCTTTTTCATAGCAGCAGAAGGCTGACTAACACACCTGGTAAGTCAGAGCACTGTGAATCCTGGACTGTAAAGGAACAGATGCAGCAGTTCTGGAAAGGCACTTCTGGGAGAGAGGGGACCATTGTGGAAGAGCGAATA